TCGTTTCAGAAAGCCTGGCAGCACAATTTTCATGCGTGATTAGGTCACTTTGTCCTATTGCTAGTGCGCCAGAGGCGTTGGCATCATTTACCCTTAAACGAATTCCGTATGACCCATTATTTCTTTCTCTTGTCTGATCAGGTAACGACCGATTTCTAGTAAAGAATAAGAAATAGTGACAGAAAATGGTCAGTAAAATTTTGAAAAAATTTAGATTCAGGTTTTCATCACAGAGGGCTTCAACGATGGTTTTTCGCTCTTTTAAAATTGTATTTTAGGGCGTTTGTTGTTGTATTCAGAACGGGGATTTTTTTTAGTTCAATAATTTTTTTGGCTAAAACTCATGTTAACGCATTATTATCATGCTGTTTGAGTTTACCTAGATCACTGAATGTAAAAAATTTGACTTTATGCCATAAAGGAAATATTTACCTGGTGATGCATTTGTCGGTTACCACGACGATACTGCAGCATCAGTAGTGCTACAAGTATGCAGTGACTTAGACGAGGATGAACTGTACAGTCGTTTCAACGACAAGAATTTTTCGGAAAGGGTACGTTATTTAGAATGTAGTTATCAACATTGCTAGTAATGTCTTGAAGTAATCCAAAAGGCATAAATATACTCTTTCGTTATCATCACTTTTTCAGTTCCTACCTGTAAGAGCTGAAGTAAGAAGCACGTGTATTTCCGTTTTGTAGGGTATCTTTGCTCTTTCAAATGGTCTTTTAATTTAAATCCTGAATTTTTCATTAAATTTGACGTTGTAGGTCCTGAAGAAATCCCAGGAATTGCTGTTGCAGTGCGCCACACCTGATGCTGTGGCAAGGTTGGTTCATACAAAGCTTGCTACACAGGCAGACCAACTATGGGAGATTTACTTTACAGGCCAGGAACATTCAAGTTTAACAGCTTTCCTTCGAAATGTGTTAACGACGGAAGAAACGAAATTGGGCCAGCCCGAGGGAACTTTGATTCAGGTGAGGGTGCTTTGGCATATTTACTTAAGTACTACAGAAGTTCCATACATTTGCTTTTACGTCTTAATTAAGTTAATATATAGATTTAGCCAAGCCTAAAAGCGGAGCTCGCATATTTTTTTTCCCGCACGTCTCAAGGGCACAACGCCTTACCCCGGCCAGGAATAGAACCCGGGTCGTCCGACTCGGAGCCCAGTGCACTGACCACTGGACTACTGAACAAAGCTGTGGCGTTGGCGTGCCCGCGGTACAGTCGACCACGCATATTAAAAGTAGCACCTTGTATGGTTGTACGGTCGTACGGTCGTACGGTCGCACATTCGTACAGTCGTACATCCAAATTTTTTCGGCTTGATGGGTTTCTACTATTTTGCATAATTATGGGCCTACGCTCTGCGAGTTCCGCTATTATGTATTATGTTCCTGCCTTGTGTATCTGCTGGGAAAATCTGCACTTGTACATGGATATTTTCAGAGTATGTAGTTGCAAATCTGGTGACATATACTTATTACTTCTGAGGGAAGCTATACTTATGCGTATGTTCCTAACTATTTGTAGGTGACGACTCATGCTAGGTTGCTGTCGTCGAATGATTTGAAAGATATTTCATCTGCTACCTCTTTGCCATTGTCAAACGTCTCATGTCTAAGTCTGCAGCAGTTCCACACAGAGCAACAGTTCTGCTCATCTGTAAGGTGAGGACGTTTTGTAAGTGGTAGATCAAATGCTAGGTATTTGTTTGATAACTATTTATAGATAATTTAATGAAACTTCTTGTCTGTAATGAAGTAGTAAAAAGTAGTAAAACTTAGTAAACAATTTTCAT